TGATTCACTTTTCCGAGGGTAATAATCCCTTCAAAAAAAAATTTTTTATATAAGAATTTGGTCACTCGATCCACGACAGTTTGTGGGACGCTGCTGTGCGCAATTGGCTGCCGGGTTTCATCCACAAAATACACAGTCAATCTACTTTACAGTGTATTCTGTGAAGCGCTTTGAAACATCTCAACGACGTGATAAGGCGCTGTATTAAATGCAAGGATTATTATTAGCCTCAAGAAAGATAATGGAGAGAAAATAATTGGCATAAACAGGGTTCTCCGCTCCGTCAATGGCTGAGTTGGAAAAGTTAATGTTGCAAGTTTAACTGAACCACAAAAAGCAGAAGATTTCAGATGTGATCTCCAGTCTGTTCTGTGAACTGTTCTTCACCAGGGCAAAGGTAAGGATGACAATTGGCCTTGAACCCTGGCTCAGCAAGAGAAAACTCAGCCACCCGACCCCTTCCTGATCACATTCCAGTAACTAACGTTGATGAATACGCAAGTGTGGACGTCAGATGATGACAGGAAGTGGTTTGACTGTAACAGTCTCAATGGTTGAATAGTCCGTAGACATTTATTCACTGGGTTCACATATGGAGAAGGCACTGGAGGGTGACCTGCTCTGGGAGTCATGCTCAAGCAACACGTCAGTGCCTTCAGAGATAGACAGGAAGCAAATTGGTGTGAAAAGGATTGAAATCAGGAAGCACTTTTTCACCCAAATGGTCATAGAAATCTGGCACTCTCCCTCCTCCAAAAGGCTGTGGATTATGGCTGAATCCATTCATAGATATTTTTAGGTCAGGATATCAAGGGATAATAATAATAATCCTTGTATTTGATATAGTGTCTTCGACATGTCTCAAAGCACTTCATGGAATATACAGTAAAATGCAGTGACTGTGTATTATAGGTGAGGCAATCTATGAGTGTGCCTCACTAAGCACTAGTATGGCAAAAAGATAGGGCTCTTCGTGCACAGTGGTTAGAGTGCTTACCTCACAAGCGAGAAGACCCAGGTTCAATTCCCGAGAAGTTTCAAAGCGCTTCACAGAATATACACTAAAGCCAATTGACTGCACATTTTGTGGATGAAACGTGGCAGCCAATTGCGAACAGTATTGTCCCACAAACAGTCGTGGATTAAGTAACTTTTTACTGAATTTTTTTTTCATTTTTTTTAAAAAGGGATTATTACCCCCGGAAAAGTGATCCGCCAATCAACTAACAACCGGTTTCCTATCTACTGCTGGGTAAACAGAGACGTGTGGAGTAAGAAAACTTGCCTAAGGTTTCGCCCTGCTCAGGAATCAAACCAGGGGCCTCTCGCTTGCGAGGCGAGTGCTCTACCACTGAACTGCAGGACTCCTCTGTTACACTGAAAGAGAGAGGTTAAGGTTTTTTTTCACAATTAAGAACAGTTTTTTTGGTGTAAATAGAGAAAGACTTTTTCCACTGATTGTTGAGTATGTAACAAGAGATTATAAATTAAGGATCATCATGAGAAGGAAAAGATGATTACAAAGAAGGTTGTCAGGATAAGTAATACTTATCCTAACAACAAATGTTTGTTTAACCCAAGTCCATAAGGCTTTTGAAAGGGAATTGGATTAGTACTTGAGAAAACATAAAATTAAAGGGTATGGAAAAAGACAGGGGAAGGGGAGAGGTTTTGCTAGACTCAATTGGGAAGCTATACCAACACAGATATCAATAAACCACATCCTATTGAACACTAGTAATCTTTCTTATATTCGTTACATGTTCACTTTGGAGTTTTCAGTAAATGTTTAATGCTACAAGATATACCCAACCACCCATCATTATTGAGTAGTTGTGAACATCAATAGTTCCATATCTGGCTCAATGGTAGCACTCTCCCCTCTGAGTCAGAAGGTTTTTGGGTCAAGCCCCATGTCTGGACCTTGAATCAGATAGTCTAAGTGGAGTCCTGTAGATCAGTGTTTAGCACACTCGCCTCGCAAGCCAGAGGATCTGGGTTTGATTCCTGGGCAGGGCGAAACATTGAGCAAGTTTCCTTACTCCTCATGCTTCTGTTTACCAGCAGTAAGTAGGAATCGGATGGTTAGTCAGTTAGCGGATTGCTTTTCCACAGGTAATAATCCTTTCAAAAACAAATAATAATAATCACTCAATCCACGACTGTTTGTGGAACACTGCTGTGTGCAGTTGGTCGTTAAGCATTTTCTATCAATCATCACCTTCTGCTTATTACTAATAATCATTGCACTTGATGTAGCGTCTTAACACGCTGTTGAGACGTCTCAAAGCGCTTCACAGAATATACTGTGAAATGAAGTGAATTTTGTGGGTGAACGTGGCAGCCAATTGCGCACAGCAGTGTCCCGCAAACAGTCATGGATTAAATGACCAAACTCACCAAAGGTTTCACCCCGCCCAGGAATCAAACCCAGGTCCTCTCACTTGCGAGGTGAGTGCTCTAACCAACACGTTACAGATATATGCAGATATATCCTGTGAAGCATTTTGGCACATTCTCACGATGTAAAATGCACTATACCAAATGTAAGGATTATGGTTAGTACAATAATAGCCACTACATTTGATAGTTACCTGTAAATTCCTTTGGGATATTTCAATAAGGTAAGATGTTATAAAATGCAAATCCTTCCTTTCTTCCATGATAATGGATCAAGTAACATCAAACCTTCAAGCACAATTTTAATAATAATAATCGTCTGGTGCTTTTGCTAATTATCTTAATTCTGTGTCTGCTGTTTATCGACCCACCTGCCAGAGGAAACAGTTTCTCCCGAATATACTCTACCAAAACCCCTCATGACATAAATACTGCTGAGGGTGTTTTTTGTGTTGGACAAACAATCTCAGCATTTGGAAGTTGAGTTTCAGGTTCAGTGGCATCATATCAATCAAAGGTCAAAGTGGTTTAATTACATGTCTCCTGTGCAAATTGGGAGATTCCATGCAGATAATGATTCAGAAGTGATTTACATAGCAGTACGTGACCTCAGGTCAAATTGTTGCTTGTCTATGCTTGAATGAATTGTGGTACAAAATAGAACTGCTTATTTTCTGAAAGTTAGAACTCTGAGTAAAGAGAAATTGTGCAGTAAATACCTTTTGATGACTTTCTTGCATTTTGCACTGTTTCTTTGGAATATATAAACTTTGTGTCCTCTGTTCCGCCATTTGTGGCCGGGCATTCATCCACTTTGCCCCGAAACTCTGGAACACTCTTCCTCTATCCCTTCACCTTGCTCCCGACATCCCCAATTTCAGATCGCGCCTGAAGACCTTCCTCTTCGAATGTGCCTACAGTCACCGCGCCCCAGCTTTACTGTCCAGAACTTTCGACGCTACCCTGCGTGAGAAGCGCTGTGCAAGTGCAAGTTGTTATATATGCTTGGATTTTTGACTAAATTAAGCTTTGAAAATAATACTGTAACTCGTATTTACTTTTAACTAAGACAACTTTTTTTTATGTGTCATGGTTCCCGCCTTTCCTGAACGTTGCGTCAGAAAAATATGTACTGACAATTCCTGAAAGTTGCATATCAAAAAAGTGTGATTAAAATATTTTAAAAATTAAATTGTCATTTAAAAAATAAAAAAATCTGTTATGAAAAGTATATATAATCTTTAAACAAATACAAAGTAATGGAATTACTTTTAATGTTTTCTATACAAAGTCAACTATTTAACTCATAAACAATTTACATAAAAGTTAAGTTAGATTTAAAGTAAAATTTGATTTTTCTGCATCGTTTGTTTGGTGGTCCGGATGTCTGAAATGTGCAGAAATCAATTACCAAGTTTAAGAGTATCCAAAGTAAACTAAGAGTTCCATAATATATGCACTACATACACAAGGAAATCCCCTTGGATCTGGAATGGAGTGTGCCCTCTCTCCGTCTCCCTGGAGGGACACACCTTGCTTATCTAATTCTGAAGATATTAGTCGTCTGAATTAGTCAGAGCCAAGGTTTGGGGACCCGAGAGTGTGCATTAAGTTACTGCGGGAGTTTAACCGACTAAAGCCACAAAGCTTGCCATTGAGAGTACTGTATGGCGAGCTTTCTACCGCTTATCCGGCTAGGATCACCCTACCATTAGGTGGGAGTGCTACAGAATATATATGGAGGGAGCGGGAGGCACCCATCTGGATTTGTGGTCAGTCGGGCACCTGACACACGTGGAAGCCCATCATCGTGCTTAAGAGTCTTCAAACCAAGCTGAGGTTTCCATCCCATCGACACGTGGAAATCCCAGAGAGAGATTGTTGGAATGGAATGGAATGTCTCTCTCTCTCTCTCCCTGAAGGGACACATCCTGCGTCCCTAATTCCGGAGAGTATTAGGCGCAGGTTGGCGAGAGCCAAGGCTTGGGGGGAGCCCAGAGTGTGGGTTGGGGTAACTGCTGGAGTCCAACCAGCTAAACCCACACCGCTTGGCCATTGATATCGCTGTCTGGGTCTTCAGACGGAGTCCATTGATATCGCTGTCGGAGTCCTGTAGCTCAGTGGTTAGAGCACTCGCTTTGCAACTGAGAGACCTGAGTTCAATTCCAGGCAGAGGGCCAAACCTTGGGCAAGTTTCCTTACTCCACACAGAGCCTAATAATAATCTCTCCAAACAAACAATAATAAATTGGTCACTTTCAATCTACGACTGTTTGTGGGACATTGCTGTGCGCAATTGGCTGCCGCGTTCGCCCACAAATATACAGTCAATTCACTTTACAGTGTGTTCTGTGAAGCGCTTTGGGACGTCCTCCCGACGTGAAAAGCGCTATATCAAATGCAAGGATTATTATTATTATTATAATTACAGTCACTCAGGTGTAGTGGTGGAGGTGGTGGTGGTGATGGGGGGGTGGGACTACATTTCCCAGGATGCGCTGCGGCGGAGAGAGACTACACCCCCCAGGGTGCCCCGCGCGCCGCCGCCCTCCCCGCGCCTGCGCAGAGCGGGAGCAGCCAGTAGGAGGCGGCCGGCGCACAAGATGGCGGAGGCGTGGGGGCAGAGATGCGGCTCCATTTAAATAGGAGAAGCCGGCAGTGCGGAGCGGGAGAGAGGGTCACTCGCGGCCGGCGGCGAGAATAGCGAGGGAGCAAAGGGAGGAGGAGGCGGAGAAAGGAAGGAGAGAGAGAGTGAGAGTGAGAGAGGGGGAAAGGGAGGAAGGAGCCGAGTCAATGGCCGGTGTCTCGGGTCGCGGCTGAACTTGTTGGCGCAGTTTATCCGGAGTTGGCGGTTGGCGGCCCTGAGCTGAGGCTGAGGCTGAGGTGAAGGGTGTCGGTTGGTGTCGGTGCTGTTGGTTGAGAGGCTGTGGTTTGGTTGAGCCCTCCCCCCCCCCTCTCCCTCTCCCGCCTCTCTCCCTCACCTCCTCTCCTGACAGCACAGATGATGAAGATTAAGCAGAACCAGACGCGCACCTACGACGGTGAGGGCTTCAAGAAGCGCGCGGCGTGTCTGTGCTTCAAGGACGAGAGCGAGGAGGAGGTAAGCGAGGCCCCCCCGGCCCCCCCGGCCCGGCCCGCCCAGGCCCCTCCGCCCCGCTCACAGCACCTTCTCCCGGTCACTGTCACCACCCCCCCCCGGGGCTGGTCCTGGGTCAGGGCTGACTGCAGTGTCTGCTCTCTCTCTCTCTCTCTCCTCCTCTCTCGCCCTCATCCCCCCCTCTCCTCCCCCGCTTCCCCCCTCCTCTTCCTTCTCCCTCCCTCTCCCCTTCTCATTCTCCCTTTCTCTCGCTCCTCTTTGCCCCTCATTCCCCCCCACTCCCTCCCTTCTACTTCTCCCTCTCTCTCTCTTCTTCTTCTCTCACTCTCTCCTTCCTCATTCTCTCTCTCTCTGCTTCTCTCCCCCCACCCCGGGCTGGTCCTGGGTCAGGGCTGCCTGCAGTGTCCCTTGTTTCTCTCTCCTCCCTCTCTCCAGTTTGGAACATGACATGGGGAACTAAATGGACCTTGGTCTTCTTTCTTCTAGCAATTCTTAAGTTCCCCCTTTTCTCTCTTTCCCCCCCTCTCCCTCTTCTCCCCCTCCCTCTCTCTCATTCAAGCTCCGGCTTTAGGCAATGATGTTTTAGATGTAAAAGACGCTGCGATCCTTGGGAGCAGCAGCTTAAGCTGTTGAGTGTTAAGTTTGTGAAACTGATCTGCCAATGTCTTATAATAAAGACGTCTCAAAGCGCTTCACACAACGATTGCAAAGTGAATAGACTTTGTATTTTGTCTTTACGTGCTGCAGGATTCCTTGCCCGCGAAGTATTTAAGTGACAGACGAGTTCCTGCTGGTTGTGGTTCAGAGAGATTTTTTTGAATCACAGAAAGTAGTCAGCTTTGTGTGCACGTGTGACATTTTTAAAAATTTATTTTCCCGCAGGCCACCAAATAGTGAGGCTTAATATTCTCTCCATCTCAGAAGGGTGTTTGCTTGCAATGTGGATCACCGGGGTTTGCAAAGCACTCTGTACGAGAGGCTTGAAACTGTTTTAACTTAAAAGAAAAAGGGATGAGTCTTGTTCGAACATGTCAAAAGTTTTCTTTTGTTGACTTTTATTCGCCAGATCAGGTTTGAAACTAGAGTGGTCGAATATGTTACATGATTGATTACATGTAGAGAATATACACACAGTGCCGGGGTTAGAGTAGATCAAATACAAGGCTGGATTTGGAGGAGACAATTTTTAAACAAATGTAAGATGATAACAACCAGAGAGGAAAATAAGCATTTGGGAATAAGGTAAACTATAGATGCTGTATAAGGTAAACAGGACGCAAGAGCAAAGAGCAGTAAACAATGCAGCTTTGAGGGTTGATAGCTGATGTTAGTAACCAGGAAAGGGTTTTGAGGTCTTGAGCTGGACCTTGAAGGGGGAAGGGATGAGGCGAAGGGACTCCGAGATGGAGTTCCATAGTGTGGGGGCAGAAAAGCTGAATAATGGGGTGAGCAGGATGGGGGATACAAAACAGGAGGGTGCTTGCTGAGCAGAGGGAACGGGTTGTTAGGGTTTTAGAAGGTCACAAGTACATTGGAATTTACAGTCTATGTAGATTGCTATCAGCGTCTGAGGTGTGGAGATGGTAGCCAAGCAGGAGAGCCTCTGTCTTGTCGACATTCAACTGGAGAAAGTTAGCTCTCATCCAGGACAGTATTGATCTTCAACAAGGCAATCAGTCAGGACAGCAGTGGTCCTGGAATCGAGGGCAGGGGCAGAGAGATAGAGTTGGGTGTCATCCACATGCATGTGGGAGTTCACCCCGTGCCTGTGGATGACATTGCCGAGTGGGAACATGTAGATATGGCAAGGAGCATTGAGGGACTCCACACATGGTGTGAGCAGGAGAAGCTGTTGGCAGATGTTGCTGGACGGACCTGGCTAGTTATCTGGGTGGATGTGCATTGGCGTGTGATTTATGACGTCTTGATAGTGAAGTGCTGACGAGCCAACGCAAATGAGAGCTGCCTGTTGTAAGGCAGGTTGGAATTTTATGGGCTCCCAACTGTTGCCTTTTACTGTGCTTGTATTTATATGGTGCCTTTCATATCAAGTAATGTTTCATAGTGCTTCACAGAGATGGTACTGAGTAGGCAGGTGAGTGTACACAGGGATCAGAGGTAGATTTTTAGGTGGCTTTAAAAGACCAATAGAGGGGAGAGGGGGCGAAGCAGTGTGATTTAACATGGATTTAACATGGATCAAAGAGCATAATCAAGAGAGTGAAAGGTTAGCCACCAATTGTGGGGCATTGAGGGTGAGGCAGATGGGTTCTGGGATAATAATAAGAAAATACAAGTCCACACACTCATTCATATGATATGAGTGCACAGTCAAGTCCTGGATGAGGACAAATTTCCTACAGTTGAATGTGAACAAGTCTGAGGCCCTCCCGGTTGGCGCGCGCCAGCGCCTCAGTAACTCAGGCTCTGGGAGCATCACCCTCCATGGTTGCACACTTCAACTCACCGCCAGCAGGAACCTCGGTGTTTTGTTCGACCCTCAACTGTCACTTCTTCCCCACATTCAAGCCATGACCCGCTCTGCCTTCCCTCACCTCTGTAACATCGCCCGACTCCGCCACTACCTCACCCCTCAGGCGCTGAAACTCTTGTTCATGCCTTCATCACCTCCAGACTCGACTATGTAAACTGCTTGTCCGCCTTCCCAACTCCTCCCTCCACAGCTGCAGATAATCCAGAACTCTGCAGCCCGTGTCCTCTCCCGCACCAAACTCCGTGACCCCATCTCCCCACTCTCGCCCGACTCCATTGGCTCCCTATCCTTCAGAGGATCCAGTTCAAGATCCTGGTACTCACCTACAAAGCCCTCCATGGCCTCGCCCCACCCTACCTCTGTGACCTCCTAACCCTCTACCAACCCACCCGTTCACTTCGCTCAGCCGCTCCGACTGCTCCACGTCCCCCGACCCACCCGCCCCACCATTGGCGGGAGAGCCTTCAGACACTCTGCCCCCGACCTCTGGAATTCCATCCCCCAGTCACTCCGCCTCACCCTCTCCTTAGTCTCCTTCAAGTCCCTTCTCAAGACCCTCCTCTTCGACAATGCCATCGGCCACCCGCCTTCCCCCCCTTCCCCTTCTGACCCCCACTCGGTTCTGAAATGCTGCACACTGTCCAACGCCTTGGGAAATCCTCCCGACGTGAAAGGCGCTATACCCATGTAATCTTGTTGTTGTTGCATAGAATAGGTTATAGTGAACCTGGACAAGGTGGAACCAAGAAAAAATATCAAAGAGGTGTTTCAGTTGTTTGGATAATTAATAATAATCCTTGCATTTGATATAGCGCCTCAAAGCGTTTCACAGAATATACAGCAAAGTGTATTTTTGGGACAAAATGCGGCAGCCAATAGTTTATCGTATTCGCCTCGGTCTGAATGTTCACCTTTCCAAAAAGGTGTTTCAGTTTGGATAAATAATAATAATCCTTGCATTTGATATAGCACCTTATAACGATGTTGAGATGCCTCAGAGCACTTTATAGGATACACTGTAAACTGAATTGACTGTATATTTTATTGGGATGAAGTTCCAGAGGTTGGGGATGGAAAAGCTGAAGGCCCAACTGTCGATGGATAAAACCGTTTTAAATTAAGTTTTTCAAACACGAGAGATCATACAAATATGACACAACAATGTTCTATGGGATAAGATAAGAACAGAATAAACAGATGGTTGTACACATCAACCATCATAATTTTCAGTAAAATTTACTGAGTTAAATATAGTTTACACCAAAAAGCTAAGAATTTTACTGGGACTTGTATGCTATGATTACTCCTGTATATCTTGTGTGTCAGCCAGGCTCACATGGTAGCACTCTTGCCTCTGAATCAGAAGGCCACGGGTTCCAGCCCTATGTTGGGATTTGGAGCTTGTGTAGTCTAGATTGATAAGGCAATGCAGTGCTGGCAGTGTGCTGACTAAGCTAACTCCCTGTCGCTGGACATCCCAACTCTTCCCTCCACAAGCTGCAGATTATTCAGCACTCGGCAGCTCATGCCTTCTTCTGTACCAGGCTCTGTGACACTACCACCCTTGCCCACACCCACTGGCTCCCCGTCCCCCAGAGAATTCAGTTTAAAATCTTTGCCTTAAAGGCGCTCCACGGCCTTGTTTCTCCCTACCTCTGTGACCTATTAACACCATTCCAACCTGTCTGCTCCTTCCCCTTGGTAGGCACTGGTCTAGTCCATGCCCCCCTCCCTGCCTGACCCACCATTGGGGGTCAGGCCTTCAGCTTTTCTAGCCCCACCCTCTGGAGCTCCATCCCGGAATCCCTCCACCATGCTTCTTCCCTTGCCTCCTTCAAAGCCCTTCTCAAGACCTTCCTCTTTCACCTCACCTTCAAGCAATTTGTAAGAAAGAGATAGGTTTAGATTGATTCAAGAGTTTTCCATCAGTTTGCAAGTCCAAAGGTTTACGTATAAGAGTATATCACATCAAAACCCGATAGTGCTACCACTTAAAATGAATTTGCCCAATCTGATAGTGGCTCGGTGAGTAAACTTGTTGGGTGTTGTAGGTTAAAGTTTAAAATCATCGGTAATGTGTTAGGCTGACTAGAAATGTTGAAGGCAGGCAGCATACAGTCAAGGAATTCACATTTAGTTTACTTTTATCTGAATTATGTACTTGTTCACTCTGCCCCCAACCTCTGGAATTCCATGCCCCCGTCACTCCGCCTCGCCCCCTCCTTAGCCTCCTTTAAGTCCCGCCTCAAAACCCTCCTCTTCGACCATGCCATCAGCCTCTTCCCCTTCCGACCCCAGCTCGGGTCTGAAATGCTGTCACTGTCCAGCGCCTTGGGATGTCCTCCCGCCGTGAAAGGCGCTGTACCCGTGTAATCTTGTTGTTGTTCAGATGAAGTTACCATAACTTATAATGGAAGCTATGGCCCTTGAATAAAAATAATAATATAAAAATATAAAAATATTTTATTTTTAACAATAATAATTTGGTCACTCAATCCGTGACTGTTTG